GTGGATCCGGAGCACGTGGAGGAGGTGGCAAGCCAGAGCATCCTCGAACTGGGAGGTTGTTAGCTGTGTCATTCTCTCTCCGAGTGGACTCGGGAGGATCTTGCTGGCTACGTGATCTGGTCTGCATTCCCACAGACGGCCCCAAAATGATGACGTAAGAAATAAATCACCTAGTGTGTTGAAGCTGGGAGAGCAAAGTAGGTCACGTGCTCACGAGCTAGATAGTCCTGAGAACTTTAATTTACTCTAGGATCCTGCGAACAGAAAACACGTAATCTAAGCCGGGGGTTGATCCGGCGGAAACCCCTCCCCGAAACCTTGACGAGCAAAAGATAGTGGGTAAATGTAGAGAGAATTCGAATAGAAGAATTGAGGGAATAATAGTAATGTACCTTTATTAAATGAATTTAAGTTGTATTTATACTTTATTGATTGGGCCGAGATCAATTTATCGGGCCCAACTTTCTTTGGGTGTGATTGAGCCTTCGTATAAATAGCTATTAAGTTGGGCCTGTGGCCCAGTAAATATGGGTCTATTGGGTTGGATCAATAGGCATATCAATATAATAAATTTTGAAAATTAAAGAATCAGTTGACTTAAATATAAACAAATGCACGTCTAATACAAGCTCTAGTAAGAAATACAAATGCCTTCTAAGGACTAATTAAAATAAAATAAATATTTATTTTGGAAAATTAAAATATAATTTATTTCAATTAATTTTCCTACTTAACTATAGGGCTGGCAATCGGGCCATGTGAGCCGAGTTTAGGTCGGTTTAAGCTCATATACCATCGGACCTCGTAATTATAGGTTCAAGCTCAAATACCATCGGGTCTCGTGCCTATAGGCTCAAACTCGGCTCACATATTTTTTCGGGCTTGGGGTTTATATCAAACAATATATAAATTACATATTTTACAACTTTGTAGCCGAACATGTTTAAAAAAAACAACTTATACTATGATAAATTAAGAATATTCATTGCAAGTCGAAAACAATGATAAATTAAGATAAAACTTATATCTAGAATAATCATTGAAAGAAAAAAATAGTGATAAATTAAGATTATCTCCAATGATGACAAGATAAACCCTCAACTTAAATTTTGCAACATATTGTTAACGTTAGGATTTTGCATATACTAGGTTTTATATTTATATGAATGAAGAAAATGTTAGTATTTTTTAGATTAAGAAACTTTTCACTTGGATTTGATTAAATTTATGAATTAATTACTACTAGCTGTTAACTTGTTTACATCCATTTGTGTGTGTGTCTATATATATATATATATATAATTAGTAGGGCTTTATTCGGGTTGAGCTATGGTAAGCTCAAATTCGACTCATAGTTTAATCGGGTTTAATAAAGAGACTCAAACTCGGCTCGGCTCACAATTTATCGAGCTCGGCTCAAATAAAATCGGGCCGAGCCATCAGGCTTCGGGCAGGCCCGGCTCAAAGGCTAAATCCCTCGCCCCCAGGGCCCCCAGCAACATGGACACACGCACACAAGCACAAAGCAGCAATATAAAACAGCAACAAAAAAATCGTCTCATCAGCAGCGCCGCCGTGGTGAATTCCAGCTGCAGCGGGGGAGACGGCGGCGATAACAGCTGCTCTAACAGAACCTTGGTGCCAGAGGGAATGAAGGTAAATTACCTCGTCTCTGAGCCTTTGTTTGCGGATCCATTGGAGAAGAATGAAATGAAGTTGTTTTGTTCTTTAAGGGGTCAGTATTTGGGGGCTTTGTTTTGATAATCCGACGAAGAGATTGGCCAAGGGTTTTAGATTGAAGAGAGGGTCTTTTTGAAAGAACACTATTTTCTTTTTTCTTTTCCTTTTTTAATTGTTATTATATTTAACACATATTTTATTTATATTTGTTTGTTTAAAATTGAAAATTTATTAAAAATTCTTAGACATTACTTTTTCTTTTTCGCTTTATTTTATATTAAGGGTTTTTTATTAAGGGTAATTCTGTCATCTCCACTTAAGTCAACGAGCCAGTGCACACAAATGGGCGATGGGCTGACTAAAACACAACAGAGGGGGTTATAAGCTATTTTTTTTCCGGGGGTTTTTTGCTTCCGAGATATACACAGGGGTCTATGCAATACTCTTTAATACGGCCAGGCTCAGATGCCCACAACCTGAGACCTTCTTTTT